TATTTGACTTTTCAAGCACGTATTCTTCGTTAGCTTCAACCTTGAAAGATGAACATCCATTCAATTGCTCAACTGTGACATTCAAAAACACCCTAAATATACAGAAAGTTTTTTTTCTAATGAAAAGTTTGACTAGAATTTCAAGAATGTCACAAAATTCTTCATGGAATTCTGCATCATTGGATGTATGTTTCAGAATTTTAGATGAAGTACTTGAGATAAGCTGCTTTGCAATGAAAGAAGAACTAAAAACGCCGAAGCAAGCCTTTTATAATAGATCTGTACAATTCTTTTTTAATTTAAAATTATCTTAGTATTTATTCTGTTCAATTGAGCTCTTACAAAAGTTTCTCCAGAATTAAACTCTACGTTTGATAGTTCAATAATAAATCTTCAGTTCCACCCTTTGACCCCATATGAGGGTGCATTGACAAATTTTTGAGAAATTAATGAATAAAAGGAAGTGCCTTGTTCCTTCAAGAAAGTCTTCTATATTATAAGCGCAGGTTGGAAAGGTTTATTTCCAATGCTTATGGTATGAGTCTTCTCCTAATCCACATACTCTACAGCATATATGGAATCGGAATCGGTGACTAGTCCGTCTAAACTGATCCAGTCCGATACCGGCCGGTTTATCGGTAGATCGGTTGTATTTGTATTCTGATCAGCCCCATCTAGCCTGATAAATCCATCCGATCGGTTCCATATATGATCCAAACTCACATCTTTGTTGATTTAAACTTTAGTTGTTTTTAATTAGAACAATTTACTTCGAGTTCAATTCTAATTTCGTTTAAAAGTAATCTGGTCAAAACTCGAATTACATTTTCGTCCGAAAGAACATACTAATTGATCAAATTTCGATTTAGATCGTAGCATATATATATACATAAGTTACATATCATAGTTGTCTATTGATGTGCCAAACCGTTTTTATTTATATACTTGAAAGAAAAAAAAACGAAATTGTATCCAATAAATATCACACTTGTTATTTTTTATCATCACAAAAATTATTAATTCCAATATAAGAAATAAAAATAAATAATACAGTACAAAAAGAAAGAAAGAACAGCTGCACACCGGAAATAGATAATTTTATAATTTGTTTCAAAGAATTTTCTTTAAAAAATGAAATGATTGACTACTTGTATATGTTCGAAAAGGTCGAAGTGATGAATTATTATCTCTTGTTTTACTATGACGATCATTATATGAATGTCAATATTTAGATTATGAAACAGGACTGGAACGACGACTACGATCACCAACTTTAGATGAACTGTATTCGCTCTTATTAGAACGATTCGATGGTGATTTCATAATTGGATCGTTATTAGATGTTGTAGAATTCATATAGACATTTTCATATACCGATGATTGTTGCAAAACTAGAGATAAAACATGTTGTTTTTATTTCTAAATAGCTACAGGATTGTTTCGAAAATAGTCAATATGACAGAAACATGCATCATAGTATTTTCTTTCTATCATAATGCAAAGAAAACAAATGTTTTCACATCGTTAGAATTAAAAGAAATTTTTCATAATTGATAATCATCATAAATCCGATATTTCTCATTTCTTTCTTTCTTCCTTTTATAATCAGTCGTGAATATATTCATAAAAAATAACTTACTATCATTTAATCGATTAGTTTGTTTTAAATATTCTTTTACACAACGATTTACCAACAAGTATTGATCCTATAAAAAGAATATATATTATCGATAAATAAATCAAATTAAAAATTACCTTCGTTTGTACCATTTTTCCTCTATCTTGTCGTAACTGATAAACAATACCCATAACATCAAGTTGCATTGTTAATAAATTGTTCTGTTCTCGATCAATAGAACGCATAATGGTATCTACTGCTATATAAGTACCTGTTCGACCAACACCAGCACTTCAAAATTAAAAATTAAATAAAAAGTTAATATTATCTATTTTTTTTTGACATAGATTTCAACCTGCAATGAACAACTATCGGTACTAATACAGGGTCTTTCGATTTTCTAGCTGAAATAAATTGATTTTGTTCATGTTTATTAATAGTTTGAATGAGATCAAGTAATTTTTGTGGTTCAACAACACTAAAATCTGGCCAACCAGTAAAATAATAATGAAATACACGATATTCGTTATTATCCTTAAAAAAAAGAAAATTATGAATTCAATTAAAAACTCAACAAAAAATAAAATATACAGCTTTAATAAGTAAATAACGAATTTCAAGATCTACATTTCTTTCAAATTCAACATCGATCACTTGAACAGATATTCTATTGAATTTTATTAATTGTCCTTTGTTATCAGGAAAATAACGATAACATTTTGACTAAAATATAATATGCAATTTAGAAATCTTTCTTCATAATAATAATTATTACTAATGTTTGTGAAGGATTATGAGGATTTCGTTCTTCTGTTCTTGTTAACATGACTATTTTCTTTACATCATATTGAATAATCATGTCCCAAAAATCTTCACAAGTATTTTCTAATGGACCTTGACAAGCTATATATTGTTTATTACTGTTGAATCCCTGTTTTATAACATAGATATCATTTCGATTATTTTCAATTCATATCATTACTTTTATTTCATTTGCATTGATATAATCATAAATACGATGAGAACCACTTAGTCGAACAGCTGTGCGTTCCCCTGTGATAATATAAAATCAAGATAATTAAACTATATTAAAACAAAATCAATTTACATACAAGGTCCTCGAGCAAGAATGTTAGAATATCGATCTAATCCTTCATGTTCAGGCTCATATTCTGACAGACGGTATTGTGGAGAGGTACTATCCAATTCCTACAAGTAATCATCAATTCTTAGATTAGTTACAGATGCTGTAGAATAAATGACAGCATCATCACTGTTTTAACCATAAGTTTTCTAATCTCTTCATTCTATCGAGTTATTCTTTTCTTGTCAATGATTTTTGCATTCAATTCTCTAAAAACTGTTAAATTTCAGTTGAAAAATAAAATCTTTTCTATTCTCTAACAATCGATGGAAGGATTGAAATCAGTGATGAAAAAATATGTCACATCATCTTTCAACTATCGAAAAATCATTTGAATTTTTTTCAATCTAATCCTAGCACATTACTTGAACATTTCCGACTCTAATATCATTTTTATAGATAGTTTATTTACATTAAAAATGTAATTCAAATTAGTTCATAAAATTGAAAGATAATGTAGAAAAGTTGCTATTGTTGACATCAATATTTCTATTGATTGTTAGACAATGCCAAAGATTATATTTGTCAAGTAAAATATACTAGTTTGTAGAGAATTGAACGAAGAATCTTTGAAACGAAACGAATAGTTCGATAGAATTGAAAACTGAGAAAAAAAATGGCACAAATAGTCAGATCAACATTCATTCTGCTACATCAATTATATGATCTTTTTACTGACTTGATATTCGGCAAATATTGCTTTTTCATCTTCGTTCGTCATATTAATATATTGAGAAAGTGGTTTTGGTCTAAATAAGAATAAATCATATATAGCCTCTAAGAATTTATTTATTCAAGAAAAATAAATGAAAGGAAATTTAACAGTGACTTTCATCTTCATGAATAGAATATTGCACCCTGTAGCTCAGATGCTCGTAACCAGTATGGCTATGGGTATGAAAAATAACGATTTGTGAAGACGCAAACTTCATTTCTAACACTATAATTCATAAAAAAAGAATTGAAAGTACGCATTAATAATGCTGCTGTTTAAAATTGATATCCTTGCTCACATTGTTAATTGTTCGCTCTGTTAAGCTAACAACGATTCACTACAGTAATGCAATCCACGAGTCGAGTTTGCATACTCACACTCGTACTCGAAACTGGATACGAATATGAAAATTATACCCCTGCCCTATTCTACTCATAAAGTCGAAGTATAAACAAGAACTTACTTCTTCATAGGAGCCGTATATATTGCTGATAATGATATTGATGATTTACTATAATGATGAAATGATATATTTAGAAAATTTCAATATTTTTCTTTAAAAAAAGAAAAATTTCATTTCTATTTACCGAACATCTTCTAAACTCCTAGAAAAGAATTCATCATGAAAGTAAAACAATTTCTAATAAGATGATTACTTTTTGTCCTTTTTAATATTGTTCTTAATCATTTGTTTAAGTGGTTCGCGTTTCCATACAGCTAGTCCAGCAGCAATAGCAAGAACCAATAGGGGAAATATAACAACCCATGCTTTCGACGATCCTGATTTGTCGGGTGGTGGTGCTATTTTTTTAATATGATCAATTTTAATAGGCATCAAGAGACAAAAACGTAAATATGACTTACTCTGTGTTCTAAATGGTTTGGAAAGCACAGAAGTACAACCAGCAACTGTACAGCCACTCACAATCAATCTATTCATTTTCATTTTCATTTTCAAAAAGAAATTCAAAGAAAAAAAGATACATTAAATATACTTATAGGTTGTCGACGGTTTTAATGGACCATTGCATGGAGTAGATTTTACAGACGGATTTAAACATATTGTTTCATTACCAAGTAATACACTGATATTGCTATCATTTGTTACTACTATACTAGGAGAAAAATAAAACTACGTAGCAATATTATTTCATAAAAATACGTATGTTTTCATGTAAATAAAATGATTCTGTTATCACTTACAATTCTTTGATGAAGAACTGATTGGAATTTCGACAGCCAAATAATCTAATGATACATTATTCCAAGCTTCAGCATATGTTCCATTCAAAATTATTTCTGACATATCATTACTTTTATCTACACAGGAATAAATCATTTATATTTTTTTTTATGTGTATATAAAAAATAAAAATAAAAATGTCTTTTTTACCTTGACGAACATAAATTAAATATTTTTCTATAATACCATTGTCAGGAGAAAATAATAGTAGGTTTATATTAATAACAAACTGAGTGCTTGTTGATGCCGGATGATTTTCTTGTGGAGTAATATTATTCGTCACCTCATTATCAGTTGGTATTTTAGGTCCTATATATAATTAAGATTAAATTAATTTATAACAACAAATAGCATTACTCACGGTCTGGTAATGTCTTAACAAAAATCGATTTAGATGGCATCTTAAGATTTGAATTGAGTTGAACATAAAGCTCATAACTAAAACAGAATAAAAATGTCTTTTGAAACCTACAAAGAATAAAATACTACTTGCCATCGATAGGGTTCAATCTCATTCGTGTAATTATAAGAAAACGTGGTATTCTTGATGAAAAAATCTATGTCATTCAAATTTTCTATTAGAGTGTTGTTTTTGAATAGATCAAAAGATTGAATATATGAAATTTCATCTATTTTCCATTTAATATATATCCACCGTGATCCTCTTGTATACTCTTCGATCGTTGGCATTGGAGGATCTAAATAAATATGCATTAGATTTGTTTGATTAATTTCATAAGGTAATCACAAAATGAAATGTTGATGGATGTTGAATCTACATCAGTATAATTTATTTTGTGTGTTATAAAATAACATTCATAATCACATCCACGAGTTCCATTCAGTTGCAAAATTGTAGAGCAATCATCATGTTCAACCATAATATGAGGACAAGAAGATGACTGATCACCAGCTACTTTACATTGTGTTATAATATTCTTAAAATCACTTTGACGAGTAACAATGAAATTAATATGACTTGTATTAGAGGTGTTCGGTCCATTGTACAATACAGGTGCTAAACCTACGTCAAACAGAATCAATCCATTTTGAAGTAGATTTACAGCGATCTTGATGACTCACTTGTGTTAAACCGGAATTTATCCGATGTAACATTTTTGAAATCTGCTTTCATAGTCGAAGCTTGACATATGTATTCAACTCCTTGAACTACTTCAGGTATCGAAATGGCATTGCAGCTGGAACAGTTTATAATGTTATTGGTAAGACTCTGAGCAGATTCGTTACAACATTGATCTTGTGCATTACAATCAAAACGAAGTTTATCATAATGTCCACGTGGAAGAGTGAAATGAATCACTGCTGTTCCATTACTCGTCAAATATTTATGTAAAGCCAAATTTGTTACTTTATCAAGATCTGAAATGAGAACGAAATGCGAAACAATATAAAAAGTTTTGGATAATAAATTTCTCATCATGTGTTAATTACCTATGTGATAGGTTTTAGTTTTAATTTCTTGTGGAAACGTTTCATTGTTGTCAATTTGTGTAATGTTCAATCGAATCAATGATGCTTGATAAAAAGAACCCGGTTGTACACCGACACATATGTATGTGCAGTTTGTTGAACGAGACCCATTCAATTCATTGGAACTATCACATTCAAACATGAGTTTGTCTGGTTCAGCTATTTCCTCGCAATCCGATACTGAAATTAATGCTGATGTTAGATTTGTATCGACTGTTATAGTGATATTTGCCGAAATGTTAAGAAATAATGGTGCAAGCGTAACGATAAAAGTAGTCGTGTTAATAAATTGATTACGTTCATGTTGACTGAGAACGAATTCGAAGTTTCGACCAGCCTTATTTTCAATACTGTGACATGTAACGTTAACGTTGCTAGTTGAATCATCGTTTGAAAAACCTTCAGTGTGAGAACAATTCGCTGGTGTTTTATTGTGTATTTCTAAACTAGATAAGTTCATAGAAGGACAGTCGTAAGTAATGATTGCTGTGAACATTGATGATGTACGATAAGTTACATTAATTGGATTTGATTCTATAGGAGCACATATCATAACTAAAAAAAATGAAGTAGTATACGAGTTAAATGAATTTATTACAAACAAAAGCTAGATGTTTACTTGTAGTAGCTGTTGTATTATTGTCGAATTCTGTAGATTGTCTTTCTATTTGTCTTCTCCCAACAATTATGTAAACAGCTTCGTCTGCTGTTGAATTATTAGTTTGTTCTTTTTGAATCGTAGTCTCATTGAAGCTATTACTCGTACTGATGACGTCATTTACATTCTCTATGAGCATTGTTGATTCGCTACTCATATCTATGATATTATTTTAAATTATGCAATAAATATACATGTAAAGATTAGTTGCTAACCTGAGTTTGAATGAGTCGTGGAATCTATTATTAAGAACTGAACTTCAGGTGTGACACTAACTGAATCATCTGTAATATTTCTCAATTGAGCATTAGTATTTATTATAGCAACCTGAAATTGTACGAAAAAAAAGATTATAGTTTAATAGTCATTGTCGGTTTATATTTTTCATTGTGTTTTACCAGTAGAAACATTTGAATTAGATGCCATAATCTTAAAATACTCATGATCAGTTCTCCCTAATTGTGTTGATTACTTTTGGATATTTTTTGTTGTCAAAACGGCTATTGAATTACGTGTATCACTTGCAGAAGAACTGTAATATAAGTTGACGAGTAATATTTATTAGTAACTGAAAAATGCATGAAGTAACTGACTTCAAGCGTTGTGTTATCAGGCAAGAGATTTTTTTTTCTTTTTTCGTTTACGCCTCTAAACATGTCTTTCACCACGTGTGAAAAGTAAAGGAGAGTCACCCCTAGTAATAAAAAAAAAATACAAAAGCTGGCAACTAACACAGTTAATATCAGAATGACAAGAGCATGTGGATGAGAAAGAGAGTGCTGACATCGAATCATTCCTTAAGCAAACATAAACATCGAGACATCGACTGTATTCATATTAAGTGAGTTCTTTAAAAAAAAAAAGAACGCTTATCAGCACAAGTTCTCGTTTGAATTCTTTTATCATGAATTTCATCAGCATTATCAAGATTTTCCTACTTTTACAAAAAAAAAAGGAAATTTCGAAATAAACATTATATCAAAGTTTATAAATTATGTATAAATATAAACACATCAGAATATTTTATGCTAATATTAATAACAATAAAGAGAGTAGAATAAAGGCAAAACCTAGGAAGAAAAATATTTACGTACACAATGTAAATCATTATTGGTTTGTTGTTAACATATTCAGTATTAAATGATTCGTTTTAATCATATAAATGTCTTGTTATTACCGAAAGATAAGTCGTGAAAACGATACTCTCACTTAATTTGAATTTCTAAATATTTTCGATAGATTAGGAACGTATGAAACTAATGCTTGTTCTTCCGATTGTAATCGTTTGTATCAAAGTTTAAGCTTGATAATGTTACTTTTATAGCATAACTTAACTCTGTACATATATCGTCCAAAAAACACAGTGAGCACTATTAAATGAATTTTGTTTGAAAACATATAATTATAGACAAAGATTGAACATTAATTACAACGAAAAAAAAAATTTAAAAGAAACAAAAATCATAAAAAAGAGATTTTCATCGAAATAATATTTAGAAAAAAAATGAAATAAGATGTTGAAAGCTTTTCAATATCATGAATATATTCTCAGGATTATATGTCTTCGAATGCGATATATTTTTTTTTTTGTACCTTTGAATAAAAATATTTATACAAGTGTAATTTTAAACTTTTTCTTTATTGAAATTTTTATCCTGCTTTTTTTTTAGTGTTCTCTTCCGTCTTAGTTTTTAATATGTAAATATCTAGAATAGTCATCGTTAATTATTTATTCATATATATATATACTATTGAAATGTAAAATCATTCTATTTGTTAAAGTAGTCTATAATATTAAATAATATATTACAGTCCTCGACAAATGTAAGTGCCTCCATCTGGAAGGACCACTGTGCTTCATAATATTTAGCTGATATTTTAGATGTATGCGTACGATAGGAAGTTCTGATTGCAAGCATCAAATCGCTCTCCATCAGTTCCTGTATATTGTAGTTATGGTTTGTATATCTTTCTCTTTTGAAGAACATTTTCAATGGAAATATGTAGATATTGCTATTCTACTAGTTACTGTTGCTTTTTTTTCTGAAACTGAAAACAGCTCCATATGTCTACTTTATAAATTACCAAAGTTCATGACATATATTCAAAACTTTAGTAATTAGCACGCCCTTAAATAGTGAATCCATGTCGTAGCTTTAATTCGACTTCATTCAATGTAAAACAGAAAAGTTGTTATTAACTTTTTGAAGTCCGAATTTGAAAAGTACGTGTTGTTTGCATCAATTCATCTAGATATTATACCTTAGGAAAATAATTTTCCTACTGTAAAATGAACGTTGAAAAGATAACATCACTGATTATTAATCAACTATCAATGTTTCAAATAGACAATACCTGAATTACAAGGAAATCTTTTCAGAAAACAAAAATTTTTATGAGACGAAATTTGTATCATTACGTAGGATTTATGGACACTAGATCAAACCTATAATAATACGTACTCTTGTTGTTTTTTTCTCTAGTTATGGCTCTATTACTGAGTTTCTGTTCAAGTGCAAAGTATGTCATCAAAAATTCAATGTTGTCGATTCGATCTGAAATTTTGTCAATAAAAAGACTTTATGAATCTTGTCAAACACCAAAATTTTCAGCTAAAATGAATATTTTATCTCTCAGATAACATATTTAGAAAAACCGAATTTTTCTTCATCATTTCTAAAATATACGCATTCGTTCAGAATATGCCTCTCACGAAGAAAACATTCGTTCGAACTGAAACTTTCAAAGCATGAGAGAATTCATAAGACCGCTTCCTTTATTTGTAAATTTTCACAGCAATAGTCGAATTTCATCAGTTCTGAACTCTTAGAACTCTCAATAGTGCAACTTCACTCAGAGATCTCTTGGAAAGGTAAGAATGCAAGTTTAGGTTTGGATTTCGATTCTCTCTATGCTCACAGTCACACATATTTGAATGTTCACTAACAAGATTATACTGTATATTTGTTATCTTTCGTATTATTTCAGGATGTAAGACGTCACTACAGTTATTTTAAAATAGTAAATAAGAAAGATGTGGTAATATCTATTTTGTTTGTAGTACTAGAGTTGATCTATTACCTAAATTTCAACAAAATCTTGAAATCTTAAGGTTGCTTCGGTTGTTAGCCTTATTTGAATTCTGAAACTTCCTTCATTCCTGTAGGTTTCGTAAGTGACATTGCACTTTTAAGAGTTCTATGAGCTCAGGACTTACGGAATCCAGATACATTTCTTAATCTCGAAAAAAAGCAACAAAGACACAAATCATTACAGGCTCGGTCTAGTTTCCATAGGCTTTCCTTAATGGTATAAATCTCGCTATAATAGCTTTTAATCACTTGGAGGACTTTGCTTCATTAGAAAAAAAACCTCTAAATAGTGTTTTTCATATGTTTGATTATTAAATTTAAAACTAATTAACTATGCATAAATAATATTAATTGTTGAGTTAGGTATTTATTATAATAGTCCATTTCATTCAATGTTAAAAGAAAACTTTTTAGTATTCTTTTAAGAAAGATTTAAATTAAATTTTCTTTCTTCTCTACTGAATATTTGTATCAGTTTAAGAAAAGCTTCTAGAAAAGTCAATAAATTGATTTTAAGGCTAGAAGATAGACGATGATAAGTTCACTTCATAATCTTCAGTTGTCATATAATGATAATTAATGTAATAATCATTTTTATATCTAAATTCAAACATATTTTGTTCATATTTTCAATAATATTATTTAATGTTAATTATTAGTTTGCTTTCCTTTAAAAGCGCCATCTATTATCTCATGTTCTAATTGTATCGATAAATAAACTAGTAATATTGCAATTGCAATGGTGTATAGATGATCTATCTTGCGCCATAAATATATATTGAATGTATATATATTGTTGAATTTCTAGGTTTTAGAAAATATTACTCAAAAACAATGCCTCATCGTCGAAAATTTATTGATAAAAAAAAAGCAATAACATTTCAACTTGTTCATCGTAGTCAACATGATCCATTAATTGCTGATGATACTGTTGGTGAACGTGTTCTTGTTCCAGTTGGTGTGAGTTATTTATTAAAAAAATTTCTCGTTTTTTTTTAAATTTATTTAAAAAAAAAAAATCTTAAAACTAAAGGTTGAACAAAGAAAAGCTGAACAACGTAAATTTGGAATTGATTATGATGATGATTATGATTATTTACAACATTTACGTGATCCATGTGCACCACCAGAAGAATATTCTGTTCATGTTAACGAAACAGAAGAACCAGAGAAAGAAGAAGATGATGATGACGATGACAAACAAGAAAACAATGAAGAAACTGTACGATAATACAAACAAAAAAACGTTTCTTTTTTTTTTTTTAAATAGAATAATAAATTATTTTCTATTTAGACTGTAACTCGTTTTAATCTTCCATCAACTGTTTTTGAAAGTAAAACAACAAATGAAATAGGAATGTTAAATCTTGCAGCTCCAGATTCAGGTAGAGATTTATTTCTAGAAAAAAAAAAACAAGGTTAAATATGATATTTCAATATAAATTTTTAGATCCAAAAATTCATTGGGATCCTGATGTTATTGCTGCACTTGATGATGATGAATTTGATTATGATGCTAATGATAATCTTCTTGATGATGATTTTATGCTCAAAGCTAATGGTATTCAACCACTTGCTGATGAAGAATGTGATGAATTCGAGTAACCAAAAAAAATAAAAAAATTTTTTTTTTTTTTTTAAAAAATATTCAAAGAAAAAAAAACTCTTTCATTTTTTGTTTTTTTGTATAGAGATGAAATAATCAATGAAAATTTACCAACAACTATTCCACCACTTTTTGTCCCAAAAACAAATAAACCAATTCCACTTGCATTAAGACGTTTTCTTGATCAAGATGATGATGATGATGATGATGATCTTCATTCAAATATGTCTCATCAAGATGATGATAAACAAACATCAAAAACAAAATATACAAATTATTCAATGACATCATCAGTTATTAGAAGAAATCAAGGATTACAAAATATTGATGATCATTTTGATAAAATTTTTGATGATTATGATGATGATAATATTGGTGCGTTAGATTCTTATCATATTAATCAGCAAGGTGCTTCAATTCAAGATGATCTTGTTCAACAAACTATTGAACAATTTGAACAACAACAAATGCAAACGTAAGATTTATTTATTCATACAATATTACAACTATAAATAAGAAACATTTTCAACTGTAACTCACACATCGAACTAATATTTTACTCATACGTAAAAAATTATAAGAGTTCGAACTCATACGATACCTTTTGCAAGTTATTGAGATTTTACCGAATTTCAATCTGAAATTTGTAGCCCCACATGATGTATTCTTCTTAAGATACTCAATATCCAAAAAATAATTATATTTGATAGTGAAAGATAAAATAAAAAACAAGTGTTTTCAACATTCGATATCTCAAGTATAATACATTCTTTTCAGCTAAAATTTTTCGAGCGTACGAAACTTCACGAGATTTACCTGTAGACACATTTCAATTTTGACATTTTGCAATTCGATTCTTTCGCAATTACTTTGCCAAATATGTAAAATACCGTAACACTAATAACTTCGAAAAAGTGACTCACGGAGACGAACCCTTATAGATTTCTACGATTGTCATCAAGGTTAACTTATAGACAAGGTATTAGTTCCATTAGCGAACCATACTCAATGACCATTCCTCGTTAGACCTGACAAATTTTGCTTCTTATTGATAAAAAAAATAAGACATTCAGTTTGAAAAACTTTTTTTTCTAGAATCAGTATTCAAGTTGAGTGTTAGAAAATTGTGGGTTTCTAAATATCAGGATTAGATATAGTAGTAGCGTAATGAGACGCTGGCTTGAAGTCGAGAGCTCAATTTTCTAAAATCATCTGTACAGAAATGATCAACAAGGTTAGTTCAGCGTAAAGCTTCTCTTTCTGTTGATATACTAATAATATAAGTCAACATCTCTCAGTTTCAAGAATGAAAAGTTTTGTGAAACACGATTGAAAAGCAGTGTTGAACTATAGATCTAATTCTACAAGCTATGAAAAGTAAAGTAGTAAGGTCTTCTCTTCTTGAGTTTGGACGGAGATAACCATGAAAACGAAGTCGACTACAGGATTAGTCTTTCCTCTTCTTTGCTTCATTCACACTCGTGGTATCATAATACGATTAACATCTTTCATCATTGACATTCATCTCGAGGTGGAAGAGGCTAAAGTGGCTTATTCATTTCTAATTTTTTACTAATGTGTCTGAGAAAAGTGTTGAGCTGTTATTGGAAAATTGTCTACCAACGTTAAGAATGTAGCTTTAATCAGTTACTTTCTACATCTGACTATCTGTCAAATTTATAGTCTCTTGCACCTCTAAGAAGTATCAAGAGTTCTGATGATCATCGATATGGATTATCAATAGTTAGTAATTCATAAATTAAAACATTTATTAATGAATTCCTTCATTTACAATCTATGCAGCTTCATTATGTTTCCTATTTTAATTCCATAGAAATTGCGCTAGCAGTTTTCCGACCAGAACCAATAATAATACAGTTAATCGAGTTCATGGTAATGTTAAGCATGAAACAAGAAAAATATAAGCGATTCAATCTATAGTCATAAAATAGGTCTTAATAGAATAAAATTTGAAAGTCGATGCTAAACAAAATCTTTCCTAAGCTCAATATAAAAAGAAATTTCTTTAATGAAAACCAACAGTCAGATCAAAATGGGTTAATTCATGCATAGAAAAATCGAGATGTTTTGAAGTACTATTACCTTTACATGATATCAATATGTGTAGTCATACAAAAAATCGTAACAAAAATCTTAAATCAATAACTACATATAATTGTGGTTCAATTAATATCATCAATAGTCTGTAAAAAACTAATTCTGTTTGTCTTTGGTTTTAGTGATGAACAAATTGAACGTACAGCAATTGAAAAAACAAAAAAAATAGCTAAACGTTTATTAAATGAACCTGAAAAACTAACAACAATAACTGTTGATGATGATGAAAATGAAGATGATAAATGGGATTGTGAAACAATTTTAACAACATATTCAAATATATATAATCATCCAAAATTAATAACACAAAATTCAACAAATCGAATTCGTTTATCAAAAAAAACTGGTTTACCATTAACTGATAATAATAAAATAAAAACAAAAGAAATAATAATCAATGAAATACATGATGATGAGAATAATGATAAAGAATCAACGAATCAACAAACAATTATATTCGAAAGAAAAAAAGGTGAAACAAGTGAAGAACGACGTGTAAGAAAACAAGCTGTTAAAGAAATTCGAAAAGTAAAATTTTACAATTCGTTTCTTTTTCTCTCGGCGTATTAAAACTTTTTTTCTTTTCATTTAGGATCGTCGAATACTTAAAAAAGCAACAAAAATTGCTTTTAAACAAGAAGAACAGAAACAATTACATGAACAAGCTTTAAATTCAACACAAGCACATTTACAAAGTCTTCGAGTCACTTAAAATTGTTTTTCTTTTTCTTGTTTTTATTTCATTATAAAAAAAAAAAAAAAAGAAAAGAAAACGATATTTCATCTGTTATTATTTCGTTCTTCTTAGTTTCATTTTTTCTAGATAAAGAAATTTATTTTAAACAGGAATAGAAAATATGTCCAATCCAGAACAAATTAAACATGTGATTGAAATTCGTTCAACAAAACCATTTACAGATCAAAAACCTGGTACAAGTGGATTAAGAAAACCAACAAAAACATTTAAAGAAAATCAATATTTTGAAAATTTTATTCAAGCTTATTTTGATGATTTAGCTGAAAGATGTAATGATCAATCACCAACATTAGTTGTTGGTGGTGATGGAAGACATTTTGTACGAGAAGGTACTAGAATTATTATTCAAATGGCTGCTGCCAATAATGTAAGAATATTTTAGATTGTTTTTATCAAATATAAATATTTTCAGAACAAGAAAAGTTTCTACTAAATCAAAATTTTACTTATGTTCGTTTTTTATGTTTACTTGTTAAGATCAAAAGTCAACAAGTACAAACTATTTAAACAGTTAATCTTGATGTTAAATACTATATTAATATGAATTACTATCTTTTTATGCCGCTAATACAAAAACTTTGATCTTCTATTTTAGACAAACATTTATTTGAAATCAACAAGGTCAATTCTAGTTCGAATCTAAGATATTGTTGAAAAAATTCTTTGATCTATTCGAATGATTTTCTGAAACTCACATATATTTTCAAAGAAAATAGTGAATACAAGTTTAAGTTGAGGTTATTATGGTTCTCATTCTCCTCTTCCTTCACAGGTTCTAGCAACCCAGCGTGGGAGCAAGAAGATCAAAGTTCATTGAGTACATTTTCCTAGCAATGAGAAAAGACGTGTGAGTAATAGCGGTACTTCGATTATTTTGAAACTCTGTAGATTTTAACTAGGTTTAAATATTGCAGATTTTGATAATTAATTCAACGAAAGGATCTTATGGTAGATGACAATCTGTATGATAGTGATATTATTGATCTATTAGAGTTCAGAATAGGACGGATATAAAAACATATGAAGTAATTCAATATCGAAGATCAAGTAAAACTTAACAGTATATGTCAAAGTTTGTTGAGAGAAAAGATGATGTAAAATGAAGAATAAAATGGTATTTGCTGTTTCATTATGGCATGTTTCGAATATATTATCATTAGGAGAAAAGAAATTATGTATTGAAAATGTATCTCATAATACAAAGAAATGTTTTTTTTCCAATAACAATGTTCAATGAATCTAATAAATTGCTCTAAATGCAAATATTGTCGACATGATAAATTTCAGAACGTGCCTATCAACATACTACTCTATAAATAAATTTATTGAAGTCAACGTTTGTAAATGTTACATTTTGATTCCTCATGGGAATACATTGACAAGTTTTTTACTATATTTTGGCAATGACACTTCCGATTAATGTTTATTTGGTTACTAAAATGTCATTCTTAAAATAGAACAACATTTTTCGAACAGTTTTATTCAAGGAACTGAAGCGTATGAGAAGTGTATAATTCATTGAGATACAAGAATAAAACAAAATATAGGAAGTCTCTAATTCAAATCTATTAGATACATATAAGTGTTTTCTATAATCACTACAAAATGGATAGCGCTTAATTTATTGTTGGACTGGTAACTTGTTTTTGAAAGAATCTATAATTGAATCTACAAATATTAACAGAGAAATTTCTTTCTTTTTTTTGTTCTAATCAAAAACTTTCGACAGCGACATTTTGTCTTAGTAAATTGTCTAACAAAAATATAAAACTATTCAAGAGAATTCTTCTAATTATTTTTCTTACTAAAATTCAAATATAGGTTAAAAAATTATTAATTGCACGAGATGGAATTATGTCAACACCAGCTGTTTCATGTGTTATTCGAAAGTATGGTACCGATGGTGGAATTATTCTTACTGCAAGTCATAATCCAGGTGGTATCGATCATGATTTTGGCGTTAAATTTAATATTGCAAATGGAGGTTTGTTATTTACTATTTATTGAATATCGATCATAATTATTTAAAAAAAAAATCTCTAATTAAGGTCCTGCACCGGAAGCAGTAACGAATAGTGTTTATGATAAATCTCGTGCATTAACAAATATTCGTCTTTGTCCAACATTAATAAATATTGATTTATTAACACTTGGTAAACATACATATAATATTGAAGGTCGTTCAACACCATTTGAAATTGAAATAATTGATTCTGTTGATGATTATGTTCAATTCATGAAAGAAATATTTGATTTTAATAAAATTCGAAATTTACTCATTGGTGAACATGAAAAATTTCCAATAATGATAAATGCTTTATCAGGTGTTATGGGTCCATATGTTTTACGAATATTTCATGAAGAATTAAATGCAAAAGAAGTTGTTACTGTTAAAAATTGCCAAAATTTAGAAGATTTTGGTGGACATCATCCTGATCCAAATTTAACTTATGCTCATGAATTAGTTGAAGATATGGAACATGGAAATTATGAATTTGGAGCTGCATTTGATGGAGATGGAGTTAGTTTCATTATTTTATTTTTAGTTTTTTAATCAATATTAATTTTATTTTGTTTGGCTTTCTTAATTAAATAGGATCGTAATATGATTTTAGGCAAACATGGATTTTTTGTTACACCTTGTGATTCATTAGCTGTTTTAGCTGCTAATCTTCATGTTATTCCATATTTTCAAAAACATGGTGTTCATGGTTATGCAAGAAGTATGCCGACATCTGGTGCAGTTGATCGGTTTGTATAAAAAGTTCTTTTTTTTCTTAAAAAAATACTATGCGTATTATAACAAATAGTATGCGACAAATTATATTCGAAAATAGTAATAAATAAAATTATTTTAGTATAACTCCAATAAAAATCAAATATTGTTACAGTTGATATTCTCCGGACAATGTCTCAATATTGTTCATGGTCACGGATATTGAAATAGTCGCTTATTTTTTGTCGAAGTTCACTATATTATATATTCTATAGAAAAAAAAATCTCATCTTTCTAAACTCTTGACATAATTTGTTTTTTATTTTTTCTGAATGAAAAGAAATGCATATAATTACTACGACATATTCTTATTGCTTTGAACACTAGATTTGATGTATTTGCTGTTTGTCAACAATATACATTGTTTATGAAAAGATGTCAAGCACATCGCGAAAAGCAGAAATTCTGACTGTGACTCACGGGTTACAAATTGTGACCATCAAAAATGAAATCGATTTAGAGATTATCGGTCGGTCTGAAATTCATACAGACATTGAACTGACAAGTTCTGGTACTATTCCATTTGGGAATAATGAAATTTTGACATAGTCAACTTTCAGCAAAGTTTTATTACACATCTTCTATGAGATACTAAGAACAAAAAAATTCATAAGACATACTAGTAATGATCAGTCCACTGATAAATTGGTCGATAACTGATTCTAGTCCTATCTTTGGTAGCTTTTGTAAATGCAATTAAAAAAGCTTGCTCACACTGAGCACTATTCAAGACCGTTTAGAATATGCATGATATGAAGAATATCATAGGATATTTGACACGATTTTTAAAACCTAATCTTTTCATGTTTCCCTATTGATTGAAATCGATAGAAAAGTAAATGGTATGAATAATCGTTTTTTTTAGAACCAAATACATTAATAATAATGATAAACTAATTTATTTTTGTATTTAATTAGTGTGGCTGCAAAAAGTCAAAAATCAATATATGAAGTTCCAACTGGTTGGAAATTTTTCGGAAATTTAATGGATTCAAAATTAATTTCAATTTGTGGTGAAGAATCATTTGGAACAGGATCTGATCATATTCGGTATATATATATATATTGAATTTAATTCGACATTAAAATTGTTTTGTTTTATTTATGTAGAGAAAAAGATGGTATGTGGTCGGTACTTGCATGGTTATCAGTATTAGCTAATATTGATCGATCTGTTGAAAAAATTTTACATGCTCATTGGAATACATATGGACGAAACTTTTTTACACGGTATGGTCAAATTTATTTATTTTTATTAAATTAAATTTTAATTATTGAATATTTAGCTATGATTATGAAGAAATCAACGGTCCTGGTCCATTTTCAATGATGAAACGACTTGAACAGATGTGTATGTCAAATGAATTAGTTAATAAAACATTTAATACACCATATGGAAATAAACAATATACAGTTAAAATAATGGATGATTTTCATTATCAAGATCCAGTTGATGGAAGTTATACTGAAAAACAAGGCATTAGAATTATATTTACTGATGGTTCAAGATTAGTTTTTCGTCTAAGTGGAACAGGTTCACGTGGTGCTACTGTTCGTCTTTATGTTGATTCATATGAAAATGATCCTGCGACTTATACTAAAGATGCACAGGTTGAATTTCTTTTAACGAATATTATTCATTTATTAATTAATTTGTCTTATAGGAAATGCTTAAACCATTAGTCTCGTTAGCACTTGAAATCGCTCAATTGACAGAATTTACTGGACGTGACAAACCAACTGTAATTACTTAATGAATTAATCAATCTTTTTTTATGTTTACATGTCATAGTCTGGAGCTTTCAAAAAAACGATTTTATTTGTCTTTCCGGTTCAATCCTGCTTTGTTCATTTAATAGATAGTTTTTTTTAGTAGTTTAATCCTGCATTTCTCTTGTTAAACTAGTATTGTTTATCTATTCATTTTTTGGCAATAATATAAGCTTAGTTTCAAGATGATTCATTTTGTTTCAATATACGATTATGAACAAAGAAGAGAATGTTACAAATTGATACTCTTGTGTTATTTTTCAATGAATAAGACTATGATGAAATCGAGGTTTAACGGATGGCGCATAATGAATAGAACAAAATGTTTTCCTCTGTTTAGGGCACTTCCCAATGTACTAGACAATTTGTTTCAGGCACATTTGATAGAGAACTTCCGTCTCTACAAAGC